CGTTTCTACTGTACGGTCGCACGTCTTCCGTCGAACAAGCAGGCTTGAAAACCCGGGGTAGGTCTTATATTTTAGCAATTCCCAAAAATAGTACTAGGTCTTATTTTCAGGGTAGGTCTTATTTTCGGGGAAACAGGGTATATAAATATTTTCATCCTTCTTTCCTCTACAGAAGTCCCTCTTTCAGGACCAGTACATCACTTTAAAGTCAAACTCCAGGCAGATATAACATACACATATAATGAAGTTCTGTATTCATTAGTACATCAATGTATTTTTGAATGCAAGCAGTGTAAGTACTTGGTCCTAACTTGGTATTAACCTCTGGCAATCTCATGTATAGCAGAGTTGTGCTGCAGTGCCCATGTGCTAATGTGAAATATGCTAATAGGCAGAGAAAGCAGAATAATGAGATGAGCACTTTAATAGTCTCCTTCTCTTTCACTGTCTAATAACAGACTGGTGGTGAGGAGAAAACCTACTTGAATTAGTTAACTGAAGTACAATCTGGTCTTCCGCCTTGCCAACAGGGCTTTGCTATGTGGCAGAGCTGCATAAATCTTAGGACCTGAAGGGCAGAAATACAAATCCTTTGGCAGGTAAAACAGCACCCATATATGTATTTCATGTGTGCATTTAGCTGTTCACATGGAGCTCAGCTTTTATTACATTGAATGTTTAACTTCCAAAAGTGTTTATTGTTCTGTGAGCTTGAGCTAGGCCCCAGCCTATAAATAGCTCAATTGCATTAATATAACAGAAAGGTACTGTCATTGCCCACAGCTACTTAGCAAATATTGGGGAACATTAAGAGAATGTAGTTGCTATGGGATCTTTTTTTTTTTTTAACATGAAGCCGATTCATTTATTTATCCTTTTTTATCCCCTTACTTTGCTAAGGTTAAAATGGATCTCTAAGCACAACCTTTTCTTTAAGTTTTGGATAGAATGGGGTAAGGATAGCCCCTTCTTTCATTTTTTTTATTGCTGTCTGAGTCCTCAAAAAGGTGCATGTACACAGGTGCCACTGAAACTGAATTTCGCTGCAATGCACTAACATGTGTAAAATGTATTGTGGCAACATGTCCAATATCGCAATGCATAGGTGTGAAGAGGCCGTTAAAGCACCTTCAAATTTTTGGAGATTAAGCACAGATCTTTTTTGCCAGCACCTCTTGGCCCCAGCCCCTGACACTTGCATGGGTGACGTTACAGTGCTTCACAGATGCCTCTTGGGATAACTGGGCGCTCAAAATCCCATGAGAATGCACCTTCTGGACTGCATTCCCATATGATTTTGGGCTTCCAGCTCTGCAGGAAGGCAGGGTGAAATCACTTTAAACAAGTGGCTAGCAGGCTTCAGTAGCACTATTCAAAGTTTGTTAAATGCCTACTTGTCAGTTAGTACTTCCAGTTAGTAGGATCTGTGTTTAACATGCCTATACTGGAACTGAGGTTTTCCTTGAAGGATAAATGTACTTTCAAACAAAGCTATAGTAGGTCCCAGGCTAACTAAGGTCTTCTGCCAAGGCAGGAGACACTCAGGCTAGGCCACAAAAAAGCCCTATAGGAAGCTACGGTCTTTATGATTGCAGCAGTGGCCCCGGCCGCAATTGCGAGGTTGCTACGCATCTGGAAATGGGAACGGTGGGCTAAGTTACCTCAATGACTGGAGATGGGGAGGGGGCTTTCTATACAGTACACACTGCCAATACATTCACTTACGGTACATTCACTCTCAGGAGTGAAGCAAAGAAGCCCCACATAAGTCCCAAGTCATTCTGTTCAAAACTTCTGTAGGGCTATGGACTACGAGAGAAAGCACATGGTGTGTAAAATGTACATTGATGAAGGGCATTTAAAACCACCTTACCATAAACTGTCCATTATACTGTCGAAAAAATTATTAGAGAAGTCATGTACACATTTGTTTTCTTGCTAAAAGAGGTTTTAGATAGATGCAGTCGATATAATGGGCTAGAATCTGCAATCAAATGAAGTATCTTTTTTGGATGGGCTTTACCTGTGTCCTGAATTAAGAATGTTCAAGTTTTCTTCACAATATTTTTACAGTACTATTAGGGTCAATTAGGAGAAGGTCTGGGTCTTGGTATTCTTACCCTGGGTATGGCAGCAGGGTATGGCGTGGCAACAGCGAATGGGGTTTTCGTTGGGGAGAAACTCCATTCATTAAAAAAATTGAATATCAAAATCAAACAAGATTTTGAACAACATTTGTCAAGTTTCTGATTGCATTGTCAAATGTTCTGACAAGATTTTTCATATGAACATCTGTACGAGAATCTACCAGTGAATGGCCAGCTTAAGATGCCGAAGTGAAGTTTAGAGCCAACAACACACTAGTAACACTTGATCTCAAATAGGACCAGGCTGCCAGTGTGTACAGTACAGCATTGTTATTGTATACTTTCAATCTGAAAGTTTTGTTTTAGATTTAGAAACCCCCTTGTGATTTTCATGTGAGATGGAGCCTTTATAATACATCTTACTGTGCGCATCAAACATTTTCAAAGACAGCTGACTAGGTGTCAGGCCTTTGAAGTTCGTATTACACAATGTTATGCACGGAAATGGAAAAAGATCTGACTACATAAAAGAGAAAAAAAATCTTTATAGAGGACAATCAGAACTTTTGTAGATAATAAACAGTTCTTTGTAAAGGAAAACAATCATTACAATGTATCGTACTATAAATCCACAAAATATACTTTATCCTAGTGGACAGAGAATGGACCCAGGAATGTGTGAGAATATCTTAAGAGTGGAAGTAAAGAGAAATAAAAATACAAAATAAAGAGCCCCCAGACGTTTTTCAGGTAGCTTTAGCAGCAATACATGTTATTTTTTTTATCAAACAGTAATAGACCCGCTTAAAGTGGCAGAGTCGACCATAGGTTCGACTCGAACATTGCTTGTTCTAGCGTTCGCATCATTGATACATGTCCCCCAGGGCAGTACCCGGATCCCCATATACTTTTTATGGCCAATAAATTGCATATAAGGCTTCAAAATGGGGACATTTAAATTTCTGAGTTCTACCCCCATAGACTTGCATTGAGTTCTAAGTTCGAGTTAGATCTTTTTCCATGTTCGAAAGTTCGAGTTAGAACCGAACACGGGGGTGTTCGGCTCATCACTACCAGTAGTGTGGCCTGACTGTCCCTGTTCTTGCTAATGCAAAATTGCCCTGCAGCTGGTCAATTTCTATCAAGCGCTTATTAAGAATTAATCGACCACAGATGATACAGCAGCGTAAACTTGGCCAGCAGCAGGACATTTTTAATGAGGGCAATGTACCTGAAATGTTCTAGAGAAAAAAAACTACAGGTATGTGTTTGATTACATGAATTAAAGGACCTCAGGTGACACAACATTGTTAAATTGGCCAGCAGCAGGGCAATTTTAAAAAGCAAGGCTAGGCCTAAATTTGCTAAAGACAAGGATCACAGGCTCAGTTTTTACTATGTAAATTAAGATACTGCAGAGCACACAACGGTATAACATTGGACAATAGCAGGATAGTTTTAATCAGGGATAACAGGCCAAAATGAACTAAAGACAAAGAGTACAGGAGTACTGTACAAGAGTACAGTATTTTACAACAGGAATTAGAGACCACAGAAGATACCACAGATGATACAGTTGGATAGCTGCAGGACAGCTTAATGAGCAAGGCTAGGTCCAAATACTGAAGAAAAAAAGCACAGTCTGGGGTTTTACTTCAAGAATTAAGATACTACAGAAGATACAGAAATGTAAAATAGTCCAGCAGCAGGACAAGGTTATAAGGCTTTACCGCTGTATGCCTAACTTTTATTTTTATCAATATAAAATACATATAAAACAGGAACCCCCCACTAAAATAATAAAACCAAACCCAAAACAAATCACCATCCCTGTAAGATACGTACACTATTTTTTTAAAGGGAAGCCTTGCAGGAAAAAAAAGTTTGCTAGCAACTGGACTGCTGCAAAAAGTGACTGCTGACCTGCAATCAAACTACAGAATAAAATGATAGAAAAATAATAAGAACAAAAAGGCAGCAAAGGGGTTGATTGCTCAAAAAACTATCAATCAAAATTAAAGTACAGTTTCGTACCTTACACTAATCACTTCCTATGCAGTTTGTCAGCTTTTCCTGCAACAGCTTCCAGTTTTCTGCCACTATGGCCGCTTTGTGCCCCATTTTTAGTGAGGGGAAATGCTTAACCAAAAGACCCCTTGTTGGCCCTTCTAAGCCTGCTGACTATAGTTCAAAGGTGATGTAGTGCATTATAGTTTTAGAAAAATTACCCTAGGCGAATCTGCACATCATTTTGCTGGGTACATGAATCTTGAACTGGCAAGATTCCACTCAGACCCATTCTAGTGGTGAACCTGAATCTCATCCTTATTCAATACTTTTGACTGGCTGTTTCTTTTTCCAGTTGTCAAAAATGTATGTATAGTATCATTTCTTTCAGGTCTTCAACCATCATGAACCTCTTAGGTCTCATTCACATGGGGTGTGTTGCCCAATACAGCGTGAAAGGCTGCGGAGCTGGGGGAAGAAGATGGTGTACGAACCTGGATCCATCTTTTTTGTGTCCAAGGCCATACACGATCTGTGTGCAGCTATCAAAACTTGGTGCTGTGGGAGGCAGTGTTTGAGGGTGCACAGCTCCTGCTTCTCCATAGACTACTATGAGCTGCCCACATGCTTTTCCCTTCAGCTCAGGATGTATCAAAAAATGTCCGTACACCATATTAAGCAACACGTCCTGTATGAATGAGGCCTTACAGACTGTGACTTAAGAAGATTTTGTGGTTTGCAGTCAATATTTTTTAGACATACTATATTTAAAAAAACATGTAATATAAGCAAAATTGTGTATGCATTGTACTGATGCAAAGACATGTATGTATTGTTGTGCACTTCATGTTTATACACCAAATATAAATAATTTTTACAGCCCGAATCTCTGATCTTGTTTTGCAGTACATGGGTTGTATTGAAGTGTTGCAGTCCATGAGATCCCTTGATTTTGGAACAAGAACTCAAGTTACAAGGTAATACATAAGCTGTGGAAGCAGAAACTGCTTAAATGCACAGCTGTTAACAAAAAATTTTAAATGTAGCTTGAGCTAAAACATTTGTTATTTTGTAATGATAGAGTTGGGAAGGGTCATAACTTCCATCAGGCTTTTATTGCATCTATGTCCCTAGGAAGATCCACCCTCACTTCCTGTCCTGGTGACAGCTGCCATCGAGATAGAACAAGTCTAACAGTGTTATTCACAAAAGGGTGACGAGTTTAGAGAAGACAGGAGAAGTGAACAATTAAGGACAACATAGCTGATTTGGAGAAATTCTCCAATTCATCTCACTTTCCAGTTCAGCTATGTTGTTGTTAGGATCCAGAGCGCCTCCAGGTGGCGCTGGAGCTAGCCCTGCAGTTCCAGTGCTCACCTGCAGGTGTCTCCCAGCTGCAGGTGTTTTGGCTTTCAAGCAGATACAAAGGAAGGTGGAGATTGTTAATTTGAATATAGCACATACTATGGAGAAAAATTTAGGTATGATGCAAATTAGCGACACTAGGCATTTAAGTAATAAAATTACGTTATTGGCCAGTACCTGCGGTAAAGAATTCAAATGACAAAAATAATCAAAAATCAATAGAATGTCATAAAATCAACCAAAAGTCACATGGGAAGAAATATTTTTACTCTTCGAGTTCCTAAAAGCAATTTTTTTATCTTGTTGAGGCATAGGTGAACATTGCACTTCAAACATTTCGTTACACTCTGGCCCTTACAATTTGGGTGTTTGCAGCGTTGCCGTCCACGTTCAACCACTGGCCAGTGACCCACAGTATCTGAACAGACTTCCAGTGGTGGAACCTCGATTTATCAAAAAAATGCTGAAATATCAACTTTGCACCCATTACTTTTTATGTAATCAAGCAGATTACACATACATATAATATTGTTCATATGCAGCCATAACTGCCTAATGTCGCAAAAAAGCGACCATGCGAAATCTGCACATAACTTTGAAATTTTCCGTCACATGGAGTTGACCTCAATTTATAAGCCGTAGCAGCAAACAATATTTTTATTTTACAAAAATAACCTAAAATGTTCTCAAAATTGGCAAAAAAAAGCAAAAAAAGGTGATAGAAAATAGTTTTCTGGGGTTACCCTGAGGTGCTACAGAATCACTAAAGGCCATAACCCTACGTTTTGCTTCATAGAATATCAGAAAACACAAGTTTTTATTTTATATAGAGTGAACAAAGGTTAGAACTTCTTTCAGGTTCATCTACTGAGGAGATTTCCTTTTTGTATAAAACCGCTGCACACAATAATAACCTAAGAGCCGCTTACACCATACTGAGCTGGGGTACTGCGTTCGCCTCAATGAATACCTCCCAGCTTTCTGAGATGAGAAAAGGGACACCTTCCCACACAATGTAACTAGGCAATGGCAAACCCCTTGCCACACCTCCAGTTATACGGACCATTAAGAAGTTATATGCCAAAAATGATTGGTTAAACCCAGAATTGTTGTTTTCCATCATTACTTTTCATTTATTCTGGTTTTTCAAAATAGCTAATTAGATATTAAAAGATAAAATAAAGTTTTTAGTACTGAATAATACTTTTGGACCAAAAAGAGGGGCAACTGAGGAGGAAAGAAGGGCAGAGGAATTTGGTTCCAAAAGAAGAACAGTCACTCCAAATGAGAGATAGTTGGGAGGTATGCTCAATGTGCTTTATCGTGCATTGTGGCAAGCTTCCTAACTCAGGAAAAAAAGGTTGCATCTCAAGTTATTTGTTGCAATGCACTGCAACATGCATTGTAGTGCGCTGTAATGCTGGTTCTTTCTGTAAATGCATTGGGAATGTATATTTTTTGCCATACGTTAGCATAATTTGATAATGTTAATGGGCGCAAAATGTTCTTTTGTGCCTTGTTTGATTATGCATATGTATTTGTGTGTAATGCACAAGTAGTATTGTTTTTAAACCCGTTTAAGCAGAACCTTTAGGGAAACATAACTTACTTAATTAACAACAGTAAGAGGTAGCTGAAAGCCCTAAACTGTCAACATATACCTCTTGATGCAGAATTGCTCAATCTTGCCCTGACCAGAGCCTCCTAAAGTATCTATATAACAATGACGTTTACAAAGTTTCCATTAGCATAAGGGCATTTCGCCAGGTAAAACCACAAGGGCCTGTTGATAGGTTCAGTTTAACATAAGTTATATTTATCATGTTTACTTTGAACTCGAGGTAACTAAGGGCTTGGTGTTCTTGGTATGTATTGCATTGTTTGATGCCATTCATGTTGGTAACTTTGCCTTATATCCACATGTTCCCAAGTTCTATTATGGACAAGTCAGGGATGTAGATGATGAACAAAACGTAGTTTAATGGTTTTGTACATTCTTGGCACAGAGCCTCCTTCTGTGCTTTTTTCTTCTTCTTCTTAATAACTCTTCTGGTAGACATCAGACAAAAATGTTCATTGTGTAGAGTGTTATAAATTACCATGGACAGTTCTTACTTTGATTATGGTTTCCTTATTCACTTTCAATTAAGCGATATCAATGTATTCGGTCAGATAGGCCATAAAAAGTTATTGAGAGACCCAATGTGAAACTTAAATACAGTAGATTTCTGAGCGTGCCATACTGAGGCAATCAGACACGTTGTACAATGTTGCAGTAATAGACATGGGTGAAACTTACTTGTAGTTAGAAAGAGAAAGCCTGATGCATTAGTATGCAACACAGAATTAGAGCAGTACAGGAGAAAGTTGTTTTGAGGGTGCATGCACTCTTTGTTTGTGGCATTGTATGCACAGGGTACAATGCCACACACAAGCTTTAAATATCCAAAAAAGGGGAAGCAGACATAATACATTACATACAGCTAGTGAAAAAAGTCTGCTTAAAGATCTTAAAAATCAATCTTATCTGGTTGAATGTACATTGCAAGGATTTTAACCAACATTATTGCAGTTTAATACCTGTTTCTGTTCTTAAGAAATAGCTGTTTGTTGCAGGGTGTACTTTCCAAACTGATTCCTGAATGGGAGGGTCTATGATCATTATTATCAGCTGGTGGGCTTCCTATGTCGTAATAGGGAAAGGTGCATTGTCTGCATCCCTTTAGTAGCTAATTAACCGTTAGGGATTGTGTCACCAAAATAAAATTCCTATTGCCAGGGAAGCCTACATTTTTACTTGTGTCTTAGTGCAGACTTCAGGGAAAATCAGTCCTCTACACTAACTGCGCACAGAATGCCTCCAGGTCCCAAATATTGCATTTCATTTTTTTGACAGTTTTAGTACATTACTGCGACTACAGCTATAATTGGAAAGGTAATTTTTAATAAAATCAATTTACAAAATGGTTTGCGCAACAATTATACTGTACATTCATTTTTTAAAGATTTTTTGTCGTTTTAATTTTTTTAAAGCCATATTACCCTTTAAGGATGAAGTCACATCAAAGATTTTTTGGATGGTTTACATCAAATGATGTGATGCCACGTACTGGAAGACATAACTTCAATGCATGGCAATCTCACTGCGACCAATAGGGTGGTTGTTGCAGGTTACTTGTTCATACCAACACCCTTCTGGCCGGCATCCCTTGATCAGCCGATCAAAGGACCCGGTCGGAAAATCTTTAAAAAAAACAGCAGGGATTCCTCGATCAACGTACTCGTAGCGTTGATGGAGGAATCTGCTCTATTTTTTTAGTTCATCTTGCAGTTTGAACGAAGAAAATAGAGCAGTGTATGGCCAGCTTAAGCTATACAGTATATGCATTTATTTTATTATGTGTTCTTTGTATTGCCAAAAAAGAGTATCATATCTTGAAAAGTTAGCCATGATACCAGACAGAGCCTTGAAACTACAACCCCTGTTCCCAGTATGATATGAACTTCAGATATCCTGGAAACCTGCTGTCCATACTGTACATTGACTACGTTTTTTTTGTAGGAATTTCCTTAGAATTCATAACATAGCAATAGGGCATCTATGGAACTATTTACATTTGAATTTATCATAATGTGAACTTTATCATATGATTGGCAATCAGTTTAATTTGGAGTTCCTACCTAACATGAGGAGAAGCAAAATATCTTATATGCACCCTCTATATTGATCCTCGTTTGAGGAGCTACACATCTACTACAAGTGGATCTCAAACTGACCCTCAGTCCTAAAACTGCTTAACGTACACTTCTTGCTCCCAAAATGTAAACAACTTTTGTACTTGCATGAACCAACCAGGAATAATTGCAGAAATTAAGTATCTTGTGCACAGATACATTTCACCCCATGCTCTTTTCCAGAACTAGACAATAATGTCTTTTTGGTAGTACGGCATTTTACGATGGACTGATTTTTTGCTGAATAACTATCTTTGTTCCGATATTATCTTTCAGTTTTCTTCAGACAATAAAGCTTTGTGTTCAGTGACGAGCAGTGCTTTTTTTCTGCTTTAAAGCAATTTTTTTCCCCAGCAGAATTCTATACTTCTTATATCATCCCTCTGTTCTCTACAAGTTACAATGAACAAAGAGAGCCTGTGTAATTGCAGTTTGTGGGCAAAAAAAAAGAGATGATAGAAAATGGACATCTATGAAAAACTTAATACAATCAAATACAAAACAGGATTTTCCAGTAACATCCATCTACTTGAGTTCTATTAGCTTGTTAGTCATCCTTAGATTGACGTCCTCCATTGTCCCACTGCATTGGGGAATAGGCAACTTCAGTTCACTTTTGGTTCCTTGTGCGGTTTTGTGGCTTGTGGAATAAACTGTAGGAATGAAGATTCTGTCTGCAAACTACTGTTGTAAGTCATTGTTGTTGACCTTTTCACCCTGAATAACATATTAAGAGGCTTGTATGTGCTGTTGAAGATACAACTCGTACACGCTGTTGAAGCTATTATTTTACAATGCTGAAACTGATAGCAAAGGAATCCCCAACAGTAGGTGCTAAGAAAGACAGGTAGTAAAGACCTGCAGTGTCACATCAAAGTCAGTTGAAGGAAACATGTGGATCAAAGCCATTGGTTTTAGACCACTGAATTATTTTTACAAAGGAAATTTCACCTTCACAATCCAATCCATAAACATTTAGAAGCCAACCTGATTATGATTTTGAATACTCGTATGAAGAAAAGAACAAACAGATGCCATGCCAGTGTGCCATAGCTAAAACAGCACCCAGCAAACAAGCATTTCTCATCCACCATGGGCATAAAAATGTGCTTATAGTTTAGGGAATCCATATATAGGGGATCAAGATGTGGTTAAGATACATGGACAGCGTTTTGGTCATCTGGTTTGGCATAAAAAATATTTTTGGATCCCTTTTGGAATATTTGCATAAGAAGCATGTGATCATGCAGTTCTTGTGGTGTTTTGTACAATAAAATATTTGATGGAATGATATCCATGAAAGGGAACAGAAAGGATACAGTGACCAACTCTCTTCTTAACTATATAAGGTATCACCTTACACCTGTATAACAATCTATCTCCTATAACCCGTTTCTGAGTTTATAAAGCAATTATACTGATAGACAAGACACAGAGAGCGCCTCCATCGCATGAAAACTTTGTAATAAACAAATAAAAAAATGGTATAAAGGTACTCACAAAGGACGAATAAAAGCAGGCATAAAAGGGTCAGAACGAAAGGTGCATATCCACCGGCTATTCGTCTTCCCTGGTAGTGAAGTGGTTTACGCACTTCAGAGGTCACGCCTCCTTCCTCAGAACCAATTGGGAGTGTGTGGAACCGAATTAAAAGTATACTTGCAAACATCGTCTGAGCCATCAGCCTTAAGAACATACCTCCAACTTGGTAAATTACCAATCGGCACCTCAATGTACTCTCAGACATCAAAGGAGTGAGTAGAAGCAATTATCTGAGCTGTGCTGAATCGTTTCAAGAGTTAATCCAACATACAGACTTTCTTTTCTCTTTAATCCACAGTAACTGTTGGATTTTTAAATGTATTTTATATTATGAGTACTTAAATAGGAACTTGAAGAACACAAAGATGGGTAGTAATACCCACCACCCCAAAGTGTGCAGGAACAATATCAGAGAAAACTTTCTGCCAGCATCCTGAAACACTATATTAAGGTAGTAGAGACCCATTCCGTTATATATGACCCATTCCGACTATAACCAAAATATAATATATGGGTTAACTGGCCCTTTAACTGTGTGGTTCTAAAATATCTGATTATGCTGAATATCCTGATCTAAGCCAAATTGCTGTTTTAATATGTCTACAGGGAAGCAATAAGTCGCCTCTGTGAAGCTGTGCCCTGTGCCAAAGGAGCTGCAAGAAAGCGAAAGGTAAAAAATGGCATAGCGTATAGAATGTAGCAAACAATACAAAATTGTATCATTGTTTACATAATAGTATTACAGATGTTACCCCTTAATAATAAAAATATTATAGAATCAAGCTTATTTAGAGCAATACGAAAAGTGCTGTTCCAAATTGTGAAAAATGCAATCATCATTCTGACCTCACTGCAGAAAACTGAAAATCTTATTGCCCTTTGCACATCATCATTGCTCTGTGCACTGCCTTTATAAAGCAGACCTTTTTAAATGTATGTTTTGAGTTAGGGAAGATTACCTCATGTTAATTTTTATATCTGTGATAAATCTGGCAGCACTGTACACAAAATCATTCACATCAATATGGACTTTATATCTCTTGTTTAACTTCAACCATACTGAGAATCATGCACTCTGGTTTTTGATTGTGGGATGATATCATAGCACAGAGAAAATATACAGACTCAATGCAGATAGAGTATTTAGTAAGATCTGATCTCATTGAAGACTGATGTAGCTAGGCTTTTGGCCCTTTAACCCCTTCGTGACTGACGTACAGTGTACGTCGCCAGCATCGGGGCTGTTTAAACAGACTCCCGGCGACTTTTGCCGCCGGGACTCTGTTTAAACTTGTAGAGCCGACTGTCGGCTTTACAACAGAAGCGATCCTGGCGACTTACCTGTCCCTAGATCGCTTCTGTGTCCCGAAGAAGGGGCCGCCCCCCCCC